TCCCCACCTGCTGCCCCATGCCCAGCACTTGCTGTGCAGTGACACACACACACATACACACACACACACCCCTTCTGAATCCTCCCCACCCGCTGCCCCATGCCCAGCACTTGCTGCGCAGTGCCATCTGGAGAGGCCTAACTCTCTACCCCTTTAGCTTGTACTCGGGACCATGCGTAACTCTTTATTTTGGAAAATTACTTTATTTTATATATATAGATAGCTATATAGATAGATATGTATGTATGTCTATATAAAAAGGTTCCATTGCATTTGTAAAATCTTTTTTCTGTTCATTTTCTCTCTCTCTCTCTCTTTTCTCCCTTGCAGAGAACGAGGACGGGGTTAAAGGAGAAAACAAATGACATGACAGTTTCCAACGTGGCTCTCGCGTCCGCTGAAGGTGAGCGGGCACTGCCCTCGAGGTCCCAGCGTGTGCTTTGCAAGAAGAGGGACTACAGCTAGGCAGGTCACTTGGGGGGGAGGGTGGGCGTCAAGTAGCCAAGAGACAGATGCCTTCGCCTCAAAAATATTCTGAGGCACATCGAAGTAGAAGGGAGAACAAGTCTCTTCGGTCACAAAGTGTCATACACCCCGCATGGAACTAGATTCAATTAATTTAATAAAATAGAATATACATAGAGATTCTGCACAAACGTATTGCTTTCTCCCAGCAAGTCCTGGTGTCGGGAACCTCGGCGGCATGGGGCCTCTCTGTGCCCTGGCTCGGCGGCCCAGGGTGGAACTCCTGTGTGGCGTGGCCCAGCATCACTGAGGCGAGGAGGGGCGCCTCCGTGTCTGTGTGGACATTTTCAGGGCACCAGCCCAGGAGGGGGAGCTAGGACTTGGCCCCCAGTGGAGGAAGGGAGAGTGGGCGCAGGACTCAGGGGTCCGGGTCTGTTGGGTCAGAGGCTAAACCAGAGAGACTCAGCACGTCTTTCTTTGTGGGGGGCGAGGCAGCCATGCTGTCGGGGGGGCCCGAGGCCGAGGGGTCCTTGGGGTCGGTGGACGGAGCCCTACGCCGGAGACAGACGCCAGGGCTGGGTGGGGGCCGAGAGCCCTGGCCCTCTGGAGGGTCTATGGAGATACTGGGTGGGCTGAGTTTTTTCTTGGGCCGGCTCCCTGGTGCCCCAAGAGGCTGGGCCCCAAAGCTGGTGGGGCTGGGGCCCAGGTGGGGCTGGGAGCCGCTGTCCAGACAGCTGACGGCTATAGAGTGCCTCCTCTGCTCGTCCAACCAGGAGGCCGGCAGGTGGCGGCAGCTCTGGGTCTCCACGCTGTAGCACTTCTTCAGGTCCCGAAGTGAGGGGGGCTCCTCCTGGCTGCCCGCTGGCAGGAGGTCCCCGGAAAGCCAGCTCAGCTCCGTGTCCAGCTCCAAGCTGCTGCTGGTTTCTCGGGGGACCCTGGCCCGGGTGGGCTCTGGGCCTGGATGGGGGACTAGAGGTGGTGTGTGCTTCGAGATCTGGCTGCAGGCTTGGGCTTGCTGCTGCAACAGGATGCTTGTCTGGCCCCAGAAAGAGGCGGCCCGGGCCAGCGGCGGGGAGGGCCCACTCACCTCTGACAGCAGGTCTTCCCTGCTGCCCAGGCCCTGCACATCCAGGGAGTCAGTCCTTATTGCTGCCTGCACAAGTGGGGAGAGGAGGGCTCAGCACCGGGACGGCTGCTCTGCCGTAACTGTCTGGCTCCTCAAGCCAGCTGCCCCTACTCCCACCCCCAGCTGTAGGACCACCAGAAGCAGGGGGACAGGTAGTTTCTCTTGCTGGGAGATGGAGGTCCTCCTCAGGCTGACCGCCATCATTCACCACCAGGCTTCCTCCCCTACTTTGACCTTGTCTTCCCTCCTGGGTGCCCTGGCCTCCCCTAAGCCTGCAGAACTCTCTCTCTCTGCAGCTGCTGCCCAGATGCGAAGGAGCGCCCAGGCCAGTTCTGCTCTGCAGCTGGCTCCTTCTTCCTGCGAAGGCTCCTCTCTTGGCCTTGACTCCCCTCTGAATGGGCACGGAAGGGCATTTCCTGACCACCCCCACCCCCAAGGGAGACTGAGTCCTTGCTCTGATCCTCCTGGCAGCCCCAGGTCCATGACCTATTGTTCCATTTTCCAATGCCCCATATGTCTTCCTAGTGGACAAGGGCAGGGTTGGATTACCCCATAGCAAGGGAAGCCTGGACCCACTTGTGCTTGCTAATCTATAGGAACAATTCCACTGCGTCATAGATTCTGCGTCTAGGTATGGCCGGCATCCGTCTCTCTCCCAACCTCACAGAGGCTGCTTAGAGAATCAAACCTCCATCCATCGTTATCATCCCTGAAAGGGCTAGGGGACCCAATAAACCAGGTAGGCACCGGCTGACTTGTGCTTCCTTATTAATCTATACTGAACGACTGTGATGATAGTTCACACCAGATGAGTGAGTAAGCACGTCAGCCCGTGCCTACCTGCTTTCTGAGGTGATCCACCCGACTGTGGGAGACCCTGGGTGGTGCCAATGGGGTTCACAGGGTTGCCTGCTGCCTAGCAGGATGGAAGCTGGAGCTCGCTAGAGGCACTCAGAAGAAACATCTGGCAAACTCTTTCCCCCAAATCAGCCACTGTTCAACTGATGCTGAACTCACAAGGGCATCGGCGTAAGCCGGGTGTAATGTGACGTGCAGGCGAAGATGTGCGGGCATGGAACTCAGAGCAGCACAGAATTAATGAGAACTTTGTCACAGGGTGGGACTTGTCACCCTGTCAGCGCCCCTGGTCAGTTTGCCTAGAGCTCATCGGAGGGGAAACTAACCTGCTGCGTCAACGGTCACCCCAACCACAACAACATGTTCTTGGAGAGCAAGAGCAGCCAAGGCTGACTCTCAGAGACGCGGGCCAGCCAGGGGGGTGGGGAACCCAGGCGGGCGGTGCTAGGAGGACTTGCCTTTCCTGTGTCTCCTCTCCAGCATGGGGACAAGGCCGCACAGCGGGTGTTTGCAGGGCGGATGGAGGAGGCTGCACTGCCCTCCCTGGCTGCCAGGGCTATCACATGGCCATACTCACACCTGCACACACGAGTGGGCTGTGCCACAGGTGGGGCAAACGGGCCTCCCTGGGCTGTGTGGGAGCCCCTAGTGCAGTGGTTCTCAACCTTCCTCATGCTGTGACCCTGTCAGCCAGTTCATGTGTGGTGAGCCCCCACAACCATAACATTATTTTCGTTGCTACTTCATCACTGTCATTTTGCTACTGGTATGAATCGGGCGACCTCTGTGAAAGGGTCGTTTGTCCCCAAAAGGGGTCATGACCCACAGGTTGAGAACCGCTGCCCTACCGTGTGAGCTCCAGAAGGTGGTCTCTGAGTTTGGTCCAAAGCACAGACATTTAACCTGACTTGCACCCCTCAAAGCAAAGGGGGCCTGCTGTGGGGCCTGGGTTCTCCCTCCAATGTAATTTGCATCTCGGGCAACCAACAGCCCCCTCGGGCCTTGTCCTGCATGCAGAGAGAGGACGTTCCAAGAGGACACAGCCGACTCCTGCTCTCTTCAGCACAGTGTCCCTGGACTTAGGACCAAGTGGAGCACGTCCCCAGCCGCAGCACATGTCCCAGAAGAAGCACCGAGCCAACCCTGGTCTTTAGCAAACGCCCAGGATGCCCGGCCATGCCCGCCTGGCCGCACCTGCTCACCTGGCGCCTGAGTGGCCGTTGAGCCAACGGGGAGCGGGCCGGTGGGGGAAGTTTGGGGATGGCGCCCCAGGGGGGTACGCTATGGGGATGTAGCAGATGGGCCCCATCTCTCGACAGCTGCAGGATGTAGCTGGACCCCGCAGGCTGGGAGTGCACAGACAAGATGGAGCCTAGGGGTAGGGAGGCGGGGAGGGAAGGAGGCAAGAGGGGAGAGAGGAGCTAGAGGGTCAGCAGGGCTGGGGTCACACCTGAGGCCCCTCCCTGACACTCCCACCTCTTCACTGCTCCTGCCCTCACCACAGAACCCTGGACTGGAAGCAGAGGCTGGGTACCCCCTTTTAGGCTGGGGGCTCCCCAGAGGTAGGCGAGAGGGCTCTTTTGCTGCCTTAGTGCTCTTTGCTCAGGAAGGGGTCTAGGCAGTGAGGGGATCTCCCTGTATGAACCTGCTCCCGGCCTGCCCCCAGCCCTGGTACCTGACTGAGCTTTGGGGAGGCCCCAGGGCCTGCGCCCAGGGGACTCCGCAGTAGTGCTCCCATCCCGGCACATGTAGCTGTCGTTGGGCAGGGAGTGCGTGCGGCTGACCCCAGACTTTCGGACGGTCAGCAGGTCTGGTCCCAGGGTGACCGGCACCTCAGTAGCCTGGGACTCCATCTGCAAAAGGAACCGGGGAGGGTGGTGGGAGGAACAGGAGCGCCCAGATTTGGTAACCAATGCAGCGCTGGCCCACAGAAGCCAGGGCCCCTCCCAGGACAGGGTGGTGAAAGGCATGGCAGGGGAGGAGCGGACACACAGATGAACCCTCCGCACAGGAGGAGGAGGGGAGCCCGCCCCCTGACCCGTCCACACTGCTGTGTCTAGGAGCCTCCTGTGGGGGTGGCGAAGGGTGAGGAGATAGCCCCCAGCCCCCACCCTGCAGTTGGATGGACAGCTCCTTCTAAGGGATCCACCTGGAGGTTATGAGGGAGTCTGCGGTCTCGAGGTGAGGCCCGATCTAGACACAGAGGGCAGGGGCAAGGTTATGGGTGTGGGGGAATCAGCAGGAGACGTGGCAGCTCAGAGAGCCTAGAGGGAAGAGGGTCTACCACTTCATGGCCCCCCCCCTGTGCCCAGGTGAACCAGCTGGACGAGCCCCAGGGGCCTCTTCTCTCGGTAACTCACTGCCTGGTGTGTGATGGTGAGGGCTCTGTGGGGACAGGCTGGGGCGGAAGCTGCATCTGGTCAGGGAAAGGTGCCAAGAGCCTTTGTGGAGGTCCTAGCTGGTCAAGGCATGCTCTCCAGAGTTTGTTCGACCCTTCCCTCCAGGATTCCCGAGGCCCTCATTCCTGCTCTCAGGGAGGTTTGGGTTCCTGTCCCCTGAGGATGACAAAGTCGGGGCGTAGTCTGGAACCTCTGCTTCCCCTCCAAGGCCCAGATTCTACGTCTGGGAGGCCCTGTCTGTGGTCAAAAGCCTGTCCTTTCAGATCCCTGCTGGGAGCAGGGAGCCCCTGCCCCTTCTTAAGTTCCGAGAGGAGGGGGGAGGCTGCTCCGGGTCAGAAGGGCCGGGCAACCAGAAGAGAGTGAAGAAGTTGCCGAAACACACGGACAAGATTGGCGGAGAGGCAGGAACACACAGAACAGCGACAGAAGGCACAAGAGCAGCCCCCAGGGGGAGGTGGGCATGGCGGCAGCGGCGGCAGAGATGTGGCTCAGACCCACTACGGGGTGGCGAATGTCTCATGTTGAGGGGAGAGGCAGCGGAGAGGGGGGCAGGGGGAGCAGCCTGGCTATCACAGGGCTCCACATACAAGGACTGACTGCACCCAGCGTCCCTGAGGGGCATCTGGTCAGCTACCTGATGACCCTGCTATTTGGGGGCTGTGCCACCCCTGGGGCTCCAGGTTAACCCTTTCACAAGGGTTTGTCTTTCATGGCAAGACACCAATCGAATCTGATCTGTTTTCTTTGGGTGGTATCTGGAGCCCTGTGTGGCTGGGGGTGGGCAGGGGCGGGCAGGGGTGAGGGGGTGTCGTGTGTATATACATTGCTCTCCGGGGCACTAAGTAAGAGTGTGTGAGTGTCGCCAGGCAAAGAGTCATCCGTCAGAGCTAGAGTACAGGACGGTTCAGACACAATCTCTGACGTCAGAGACAGAGCCTCCATCTCAGCTAGAGGGATCTAGACAAGGGAGAGACAGGATCAGGCATCAGAAGCCCAGACAGGGCACACGTGTACACTCACTCATGCCAGCCCCCGCTGGACCCCACCCCGCCCCCTCTGTCACCACGCTCGGGCACAGAAAGGCATCCCCAGTCTCTCCCTACTCCTTCCCCAACCCACTGGCAGGGCCTCCCCTCACCCACCTCACCCCCTGCTCTACGCAGAGAGGCGGCAGCAGGCGGCCAAGAGCCAGAGCCAACATTGACAAAGCCACATTCTAAAGATACCCCGGGAGCCTTCACAGCCCCCTCCCACACTACTGCCACCCAGGGAGGGCGCGGGCAGGAGGGAGGGCCTTCGCTCCCATCAAAAGGATACCACACACACAAAAAAATAGAGAGAGAGGGGAAACCGTGAAGGCAGGCCAGCAAGGCGCACTCTCCCCTCTCGGCACAGACAGAGCGGCATGGGGGGCGCCCAGGACAATGAGGCCAATCTGCTGGCTGCTTCTGCCTATTCTCTCTGCTTCCAAAAGCTTGGCAGGACTTGGCCTGCCCCCAGACTCTGGCTTCTCCCCTCCAGGCCCTCCCGCTGCCTGCCGCCCGCCTGCCCTCTCCTCAGGCTGACCTGAATGGGGCTCCCCCTGTGGATGCCACACCATCTGGCTGGCTCACCTGGGGTCTGCAGGACCCGTTGCTGTCCTGACACCATGCCATCCCACCCGGTTCTCTCCCTCTGGTTCTGCCCCGGGGCCTGGGGAAGGGACTGGCTTTCCCACCATCAGTCCAGGCTCACTGTGCTCTGGAGACAGTCCCAACAAAAGGGCAGAGGCCAGAGCCCGTCCCGCATGCAGACCACGGTGCCCGTGTCTGAACTGCGCAAAAGGCTTCCCAGGGGCCTACCATTGGCTCCCTGCGCACCCATGGGGGCCAAGGCGGGGGAGGCCTTCTTGTCTCTAGCTGTCTCCCTGCTCCTCCCCAAGCTCCATCCTGCCTGGGAGGAGGGGTGGGGAGGGCTCTCACAGGGCAGGGCGTGGGCAGGCTGACTAGTCACAGGGGAGGAGAGATTGGGGGCGATGGACCCACGGGAGCCGAGTGTTGTGCACTGCCATTTGCTTCCAGTACAAGGTTGGGGTCCCTGGGGCCACAGTCATACCCAGGGAAGCCTGCCTTACCGTGCTCAACAGAGCGGAGGGGCTGGGCTGGGCATGAGGAGACCACGTGGATCATGCCTCTGTGGGGCCCCAGCCCTCATATTCTCCCCGAAGGTCCTTCTCCCGTGGGCCCTGCACCCTCTGCTACTCTCCCTGTGTCCCCCTGTCCCTGTTCCACCCTGCCTTCTTCCTTGGAGATGCCCACTCAGCCTCCCTGCTCTCCAAATATGCGTTCCGAAGGTGGTGCCCAGCCTGGATGGACGCCTGGCTGCCTCCTGCCAAGTATGAAACTCAATGGAGACCTGAGGCTGTAGTCTCGGGTCACCTGGTGGGCAGGGCAACCTCCCCCCCTCACCACCACCCCCAACCCGCCTAGAAGCGTGGCACAGCCCAGCACGGTCAGGGGAGAGGGCACAATAACCTGTGGGTCGGAGCCGCCCCGGCTGGGGGCGGGAGGGAAGGCAGAGGGCTGCCCCCCCAGGCCGGCCAGCTCATCCATTAGCTTCAGCTCCCCGTCCAGGGAGCCCTGGACCAGCAGGGATATGGTGTCAAACAGCTGTCTGTCCTGGGAGACCACCCCGGAGGGCACGGGGCAGGAGGCAGCAGTAGGTAGTGTTGTGGTAGGGGGTCGATGGGTGGACGAGAGACACAGGAGAGAGGCGAGAGAGGCACGTGTTGCACATGCGCGCGTGCTCACACACGCATACACACACACACACACACACACACACACACACACACACACACACACACACACACACACACACACACACACACACACACACGGCGGCGTCGTAGAGACAGACACCGAGGAGGAAGGGTTGATGGAAGGAGGAAGAGATGGGAGGCGAAGACAAGAGCAGTCCAGACAGGGGGGCGGCGGGAAGAGAAGAGAGTCAAAGATTGAGGGGTGGGAGGGGGATTAGCCAGGAAAGACGTTTGGCAACCAGGCAGGGGGGAAAGAGAGACAGGGAGGAAATAGAAAACTTAGCCTTGAACCTAGAAACCTCAGCAGGGGTGGGGTGGGTGGGTCTGGGGGGGGTGTCAGGCCAGGCTGGAGGGAGATGCTGGCTGGTTTGAGGGGTGTGGTCCTGGTGGGGGGGGCGTGTGGCAGGCATGAGGTTGGGGCTGTCAGTCCCCAGCACCCAGGACAAGCCCTGGGTTGCCCTGCACGTTGTCCTCCCCACCCAAGCCCAAGCACAGCTACCGGCAGCCCTCCCTCCCCTTCTCTTTCCTCAAACCCGGTCCTGGTGGTGGTGGTGTGGAGGGGATGCACTCACCGTGGGGTGATCGAGGGAGAAGCGGGAGGCTGCCCTGGAGTGGGCTGCAGGGTGCAGGGGCCCCAGCTTGGGGCTGTCGGAGCCCTCGACCCCAGGCCAGAGGAAGGGGCTGCCCAGCGGCGAGTGGGGCTGTGGGCTGAGTGTCTTCAGCTCCAGCTCGGCCTCCAGCTCGGCCTCCTCCTTGGCCTCCTTGTTGCTCTCCTCCAGGTGCTTCATCAGGACGGCGATCACCACGTTGACCAGCACGAACTGGGCGGTCAGCACGAAGGACACGAAGTAGATGGGGGAGATGACCGTGTTGTAGCAGGTGGACTCCTGGTCGCAGTCTCGCAGGGTGTCCTGGGGGTGGGGCACGGAACGGTCATGGGGAAGGGGCTCACTGGTGCCAAGGGACATGGGAGGAGGGGTCCTCCAGGGGCGGGGGGAAGACACTGTGCTGGGGATGTGTGTATCAGAGCAAGTCCTCAGGAGTGGGGCGTTCCGGGGGGTTGGGGTTGGTGGTGGAAGGTCCCCCGCCTTGATGCGTGGCCAATTCATCTTCTCCAAAGAATTTGGCGGGAGAAGTGGGGCTGCCTCCTGGGCCCTGGGAGCCCCCTCGGCGGTGCGGCACGCACCTTCATGATGCCGTTCCAGTTGTCGCCAGTGGAGACGCGGAAGAGGGTCAGGAAGGCCATGCCGAAGTTCCGGAAGGTGGCATGCCGGCCCAGACCCTCACACGGGTGTGTCTCATCACACTCTGGGGGAGCAGGAGAGGCCCAGGTGAGTCCAGGGTACCCCCTCTGTGCCCGGCCATGGCTCCTCCGCCCTCGCCCGCCCCAACTCACCCAGGTCTCCAAAGAGCTCCACGCCCAGAGCTGCAAAGATGAAAAACAACAACATGAAGAGAAGTCCCAGGTTCCCCACCTGGAAGAGAAGGAGAGAAAGGGCGAAGGTGCGCTGGCACGCCCAGGCAGCAAGCACAGCCCCAAGCACCCACCCCTGCTGTGGCCCTGAGTCGGCCCACCCACCCCCGCTTCCAGCTACCTGGGGCAGGGCCTGCATCACCGTGTCCAGCAGCGCCCGCATGCCCACAGCCATCTTCAGCAGCTTCAGCACTGAGGAACAGGACAGAGTTGTGAGCCGGTCCCTCAGGGTCCCAGCCACACAGGGCCCGGCTGGTGAGATGACCGGTGCAGCAGCTCCCCACCGCCCCCACTCTAACCTGTGCCTTCCACAGAGAACCCCTAGCTGCCCACTCCCTGGCGGTCAGCCGCAGAGTGGGCCCCTGCTGTCTTAGACATCCCAAGAGGGTGGATGCGGTGGGCACTGACCTCGGGCGATACGCAGGACCCTCATGATGCGGATGATGGTGGGGTTGATGGGCAGCGAGGCATTGACCTCGATCTCCTCCAGCGTGATGCCCATGATGGACAGCAGCACGATAGCCAGGTCCAGCTGGTTCCACCTGGAACTCCCAGGACACGTCTCTCTGAGCGGGAGCTGGGGCTGCCTGGGAGTGGGCTGTGAGCCCACTAAGGCTGGAGGGGGTGGGGGCGGCCCGTCTAGCCCCCCGGTCTTGCAGAGAAGCAGCGTGACTTGGGTAAGTAGGGTGCAGAGCCGGGGAGCCATCTCGGGAGATCTAGGACTTTAGCTCATGGGTCTCTGCTCTGAATCAGTAGCCGTTTGCTTTTTTATTTAGCACTTGCAGGGTATCAACTCCGCCACCCATGCCAGTCTGTCTGTCACCCTGTGATGGCTTTCATGTTGCTATCGCGCTGGAAGTCATGCTGCCAGCTCTGCCGATACCAACAGAGGTGCCCATGGTGGGCAGGGCTCAGTGGTGCTCCTAGACGGTCAGACTGGGAGGAAAGGCTGAGCCCCTTCTCTGCAAGCCGCAACTGAACACTGTGTGACGTGCCCGTGCTGGCCACCATCAGAAGGAATGAGCTACTAGAGGAGGCCATCATGCTTGCTGAAGGGCACGTCATGGGCGGTTGGGGAGATGGGTGGACACATTAGCTGCAACTATGGGTTTAAGCATGTCAGCAATCTTGAGGATGATGTAGGGTGAGGTCACATTTTGCTCTGCTCTACAGAAGGTTATCACGAGTCGATAACCTGTTTATCCCTCTGTGGGAGTTACCTAATTTTGTGTCAACTTGAAGGTATGAGTGAAGGGGTGGAGTCTAGCCTGTCAATCAGGCCACAGCCTGATGATGCTTCCTGGTGGGTGTGGCCTTCTTATAAGGAGGGTCCTGGGAACTCCCCCACCCCCCACCCCCACCCCACCCGTCTCTCTGTCTTCCTCTTCCTGCTGGCAAGCCACGCTGGGACCTGCCACCGCCATTGGATCTGCTGGAATTTCATCCAGTGGCCTGTGATCTTCCTGCATTCTACATCACTGCATGTAACTGAAGAGAGGCTCGTGGACTAGTGTCGGACTTAGATCAGACTGTGCTGGGATGTTTTCTTGATATACAACCACTCCTTGATGTAAAGTTCTTTCTTACACATATATGAGTGTCTCTGGATTTAATCGGCCTAACACACAACCCCTCCATCCGTCCATGGTGTTGACTACGTGCCAAACGCTGGCTTAGAGGCGCTGCTACTCACACCCACACACTGCCATCAAGTTGATTCTAACTCATAGGGGTCCTGCAGGGCAGAGTAGAACAGACCCTATGGGTTTCTGAGGCTTTAAATATTTACAACAGAAAGTCTCGAATTTCTCCTGAGGAGCGGCTGGTGGTTTCATTCAAACTGCCGACCATGTGGATCACAGCCCAACGGTATAAACACTACACCACCATAGGGATCAGTAATTCTTGGAAGGAGTGTTATCCTAATTTACAATGGCAGAAACTGAGGCTCACAGAGGTCAAGTAATTTACCCAGGGACATCAGATACTAAGTGGTGGAACCAGGATTCAAATCCGGTTCCACGCAGTCTGGCTCCAGGCTCCGCCCCATCTTGTCCTGTTCCCTCATCTTTCCCTTTTCCCAGGCCCTGGATTACCACCCACCAGAGCCCTGAGTGGGTCCTAGAATGGGGACTGAACCTCGGGAATGAAGGAAGGCCTTCGAGCGATAGGCATATTTCCCCTGAGGACACGGCGCCTCCTGGTCCCAGATCTCCCTGCTCTGGCAGTCAGTTCTGTCTTGGAAGAGCCGGCCCCTTGGGCCCTCCCTCCAGGCCCCAGACCTCGTCACTACCTGTCTTGGAAGAAGCGGCGGAAGCCAAAGGCCACGAGCTTGAACACCGACTCCAAGACAAAGACGACGGTGAAGATGTAATTGCAGATCTTCAGAGCCTCGTCCAGGACCTGGCAGGAGGAGCAAGAAGCGCGGTCCCCTAAGGCTGCGGGGGGAGGCCTGCCCCACCCCCTCCTGCCCCGCCCATCCCCGATCTGGGAGATGGGATGAGTCCCATGAGACTCTTCTCCATCCCCACCAAGACGGCTGACCACTGGGCACACCCCAGGGCGGAGCAGGGTCCTGTTCATGTGGATGGCCCACACCCCGCCCTACAGGTCTCCTCTCTTTGACCCTGCTCCGAAGGGTGGCGAGCTGGACATAGCTGTCTCCCAGACTGAGGAGCTGGGCCTGGTGGCCTTTCTTTATGTGGACAGGTCACTCCCACAGGTTGCTGCGAGGGCTGGCAGTCAAGCACTAACCACTGGACCACCAGGGTTACTCCCAGAAGGGGTCTTGCACATTACTATTCCGCCTCCTTGATTGGCGGGTGGGGAAAATGAGGCCAGAGGGCAGCCAAAGGACGGGTCAGAAACGTGGCGAGGTCACACGTGAGTTTGGCGGGGGTGGGGTGGGTCAGATGTCCACCAGGACCTCACGCCAGCAGGGCAGGCGCTGGTCTGCCTTCTCCCCTTTGAAGGACTCAGAGTCTGGTACGTGGTGGCCGACTGCTAAATATCCGCTGAGCGAATAAACCAGGTCCTCCACATGCTAGCTGTGTTGCCGTGGTCAAATCCCGCAACCTCCCTGACCCTCAGTGCCCGCATCTGTAAAGCCTCCCAGGATTGTGGCCAGAAGCCCAGGAAGAACCCATGAGATGTGTCCAGCACCCATCAGCCAGGGCTTGCCTCGCCTTGCCCTGAGGGCCCCCCCCATGGCTGGAGACGGTGGGCCCCGTGGCTGGTGCCAGTGGCTGCTCCTACCTGGGGCTGCTGGTAGTGCTCCATAGCCATGGTGACCACATTCAGGCCAATGACGCCTGTGATGAAGAGGTCCAGGTAGTGGGTGGTGCACAGGTGGTGGACGAGCAGCCGGAAGCGGGAGTAGTCCGAGTAGTAGGGCTTGCACTGGGCTTCTGGGAGGCGGGGTAAGGGATGGAGGAGAGCAGAGCCACCATCAGACTGCCATCCCGAGGACTCCCTCCACCCACAAGCCCCCACAGCCACCAGCCTCTAACGCCAGAGCTGAAACATTCCACGGTCACCAGCACCCCCGGCCTCCCCATACTACTAGCTCTTCTGGTGAGGTGGGGAGAGCAGCCCTCTGGGTGTTCCCCCTCCCTCAAGCATCTGCTCTACTGGCTGCAGTCTCTGGCACAGGGGGAGTCAGGACATGCATAGCTCCCCATCCACATTAGACACCGGGTGAGCCTCTCCCCCCGGGCAGTCTCCGGGAGTCGCCGGCCCCTCTCGGCCTCTCCTGATGCTCTCGGCTCTCCTCGGTGTTGCACCGTGAGGTCAGATCAATAAGATGAAAAACAATCGGTCTTATCAAGCTCAGAGGAAGTGCCGTCAACCAAGAGGCAAAGGCTCTGGTTTCTCCAGCAAGTTCAGCCCCTCAAGGGAAGCGGAGGAGATTACACAGAGCTGGGATTTGGAGATAAAACCGGAGATTGGAAATTGGACAGCTTCTTGGCTGGCTGCACTCACCCACCCACAGGGCCTGGGGTAGGGGTCCGGGGGCTGGGCCGTCCCCTCAGCGGGGGAGGTCAGCAGAGAGCGTGCTCGGCTCGCTCACCCCAGTCTCCAATGGGTGGGTGGGTGGGGTTGCCATACCTGATGGACTCACCCAGTTTCTAATGAGGCCATGCCCAGCTGGCCCTGGTGTCAGGGTGGCGTCAGGCTGAAGGCTGGGCTGGAAGCACTGTCTGAGATCGGTCAGAGGCGCTCTCTCTCTTGTAATTAGCGGGCCACTTCGTTATAAAAATCATGGTGCCAGGAGGCTGGCCTGCTTTGCAGGCAGAATAAATCTGGGGGCCAGGAGGTTGTGGGGCTCTCCTTCAGGGGCCGAGGAAGAGCCAGCTGAGGGAGCACGCGGGGGTAGCAGACGGGTCTCCCAGCCGGGCACTACGACGGGAGAGGTTTGTGGTCCCTTGGGAGGCTTCAGCAGCCTGAGGTCCCAGACAGCTCTTCCCCACCTCGAGAGGCCTCGGGCAGAAGTCAGCCAGTAAGGGCTGGAGCACCTGAGGCTGATGCCAGGGGCTGGCTGGCACAAGGGCAGCAGGAAGCTCAGGCCCCAGGCCAGCTCAGGTTTCACTGTCCTTTCCCATGCAGAGAACCACTGAACAGAGAGGGAAACTGAGACAGCCTGGGCGGGGCCCCCACCGCAGACCAAAGGAGGAAGAGAGCCCAGGTTCAGTGCTTAGCTGCACTAGATGTCTGTTCCAACACACACACACACACACACACACACACACACACACACACACAGCGGCACCCGGCCACTCTCCAGCATCGGCCTCAGAGTGTGGATAACCGAGAGGCAGAACGTCCAGAAAGCTCCAGCAGGCCTTTTAAAATAAATCTGAGATGGGTCAGCCAGTTGTGGGTTTGGTGGGGCAGCTCTGCTGACCCCCAGGAGTGTATGTTCATGGGGGGGGGGCGGCGGAAGGCCTGGGAGAGGGGACGAGGCCACAGGTCATCCACACAGCGATGGTGGGGGGTGGACAGGGTAGGCAGGCCGGCCTCTTCCTTCCTCAGTACCTACAAGGTCCAGAGGGCGCTAGCCACCCGGAGTTGCCTTAGCTGCTGGAACTCTCTCTGCATTAATCTCCATAAATGCCGAGAGCACCCGATCCCATTATGCTAAAATATGAATGGAGAATTAACTAAAATGTTTGAATACAATTAGGTTAGAGAAAGCGGCTCCTCATTAGCCTCGTTATTAGCAGAGGAGATGATGCTGAGCTGAGGCTGGGAGAGGAGCCTGTCCCCTCTCCCCTCTCTCCCCTCGCCATAGCCCTCTGCTCGAGGGGCTCAGCCAGGGACCCTCCTCCAGCGGCCTAGAGGGAAGGGGGAGGGTGGGACCACTGAGAGGGGCACCTGCTCTCAGCCCCAGGACCACCCGGCCATTGCAGTCTGTACAAAGGACCCTCCGTCCTGACCCAGACCAGCAGGTGCCGAGGAGGCTGCGCACCCCCCACCCCGAGAGCGCAGGTCCAATGAGCAGCAAGCCAGGTGATCAGCACAGCCTATAAGACCAGAGAGTGACCGACCTGTCCTGCACACTGGGAGGCAGTGACAACCTGGAGCACCCTGCTGAGACTCTGAACCAGCTGCCAGGGAGGCTAGGGCATGAGGCCCAGAGGGTGCCCTTGGGTGAGATGGACGATGCCACCCCACCCTGCTCCCCAGCCCTCGGTTTTGGGTTGGTGGGAGAAGCAGAGTCCCAGGGCATCTGCCGTCCAGGCTTTCCATGCTGGCCCAGGGAGGTTAGCTCTGGCATCTTGGCAGGCCTGCCCCCACCTCCCTGCCAGTATGAGTTGTGGAGAAAACACCAGAGTCAGACAGCAGGGAGAAGTGCACCCCAAGGACCCCAGCGCCGCAGGGGGGTGGTGCTGTGGGTGAGAGCAACAGGCACGGTGGGGGAGTTAGTGAGGGGCATCACTGAGTGGACAGAGGGCTCGCAGAGGGCAGTGCAGGGGTGGGAGGCCGGGGTCCCTCCCAGGGGCACAGGCCCCTACAGCAGATGACCCATTTCCAGCTGCCGTGGTCAGCCCAGACACTGAGCCCCAGACTGAAGGATGGCAAAAGGGTGGGTGGCTGCCCTGGACGGGGGTGGCACAGGGGCTGAGGAGACCAGGGTTGGACTGGGAGCCAAGGCATCCCTTGGGGCTGGCAGCCAGCAGCCAAGTCTCTACTTCCATCTTGTCAGGCTCATTCCCACGGCCACCTAGGGCAACCCTCTTGCCTAACCCAGCTGCCTTTCCAGGGGTGGGGGTCAGGCTGTCCCTCCTACTGGGAGCAAGCAGCCCAGGGCAGGAGAACATCGGCAGGAGGTGTTGAGAGACTGGTTGGCTCCCGGAAGCCTCTGACGAGGGGGTCTGACCTGGTCCCTATCGTTCTTTTGGGGAGGCCAGGAGCCATGGAAATGCAGGTGCTTAGGTCCTTTCGCGGGTCATTCTCTCAGTTGGTCTGGGCTGGGGCCCCGGGATCTGTGTTTTTCTAAGCTCTCCAGATGATTGCCCCTTACTGATGCTGCCCCAGCTCTGTCGTGGACCACGTGCCCAGGGGTGAGTTATGGGGTGGTCTGACCCCCTGCCTGGGTCTCCTCCTTACCACCGGGGGGATGCCTGGAGCCCCAGGGGTTGTAAGCAGGTTCAGGGACATAGCTCTCTGAGGAGAGGCCTCTGTGGGCAACCCTGTACTAGCGGAGGGGTTTGAGGGTGAGTCCAGGTACGTGGACACGTGAGTCTAGAAATCAGATACACCCATTAAGAAAAACACGCAAGGTCACCTCTTCTCACCCCGCCCCGCCCCCAGCAAGAATTTCCAATACAGGCTGACAAAGAGGTGGGGTGTGTGTGTGGGGGTGGGGGGGCAAGTGATCCAGACATCTATCAACCAGAGATCCCCATCCCCCAGAGACCAAGCACCACAGCTCAACGCCAGGGGGCAGCTGACATCTATCCTCCGAGGGCCTGGGGGTGAGCCACTGTGTGGTGGGTGGCCCAGGGGAGCTCCTCTACCCTGAGCACCGCAGGTCGGGCAGCCCCAGTGCCCTCGGGGAAGAGTACAGGAAGGTACTGGCGGTGACTCTCAGCCTGAGAAGGCTGTCACATGGGGGCAATTAGGTTCTTTGCAATATTTCTAAAACGTTAAAGAACTCATCTATTTGACTGGTAAGACCCCACCGATTAATCTAACGGCCAAATAGTCTTCATTTTTTCCGCTCCCTTTCCATTATTCAGCGTGATAGCCCCTCGGCTGCTCAGAAGCTCCAATTAGCAATTAGACGTGCCTTTGATGAGGGAAGCAGTGACACAGAAGTCGCTAAGGTGCGTCCTGAACTTCAGAGCCGCGGGGTTACACTTTAAGAAGGGGCCTGGGGGAGGGGAGGGGACATCAGAGCATAGCCAGGCTCTGATCAGAGGCTCTCGGGAGGGTGGGTGGCTCCATCTGGGGCCGGAGCATGTATGGGGAGCAGGGGACTGGGTGCAGGGAGGGCAGGCCGGCCCAGGTGGGCTTTCCGAGACACGTGGCTCTCGGCTGGCTCTGGCTCGCCTGCTCAAGCAGAGACTAAGACCCACCTGGCTCCCTAATGGCTGGCTTTTTTGAGAGGCGCATGTGGCCATCTCCATCCCTGCTGTTTGTAACGACGACGTTCTTACCGCGATCACTTGACTATTAATGAGCCTGTTCAATTATTCATCGTTACATTTTTGAAACCAATCCTGCCCCTCTCTGCTCTGCTCCTCCTGCTCCCTTGGATCAAAGCCCCCCCTTCAGACAAAAGGAGGTGGAAGAGATTTGCAGCTCTAATAACCGAACGCTGTGAACCGAGGAAGGGTGGGGACACAGGGGGGGTTGGCCTGGGCCCCACAGTCTTTGCAGAGACATCAGCTCGCATGGGGGTCGGCGCTGGAGGGGCTTGCCTGGACCCTCACCTCCTGCCCAAGGAATGGCGCAATGCCCCTGCCCTCTGGTGGGGGAGGCACCCTCAATGAGTCACGGAGAAGGAACAAAGCACGCGCCGTGCTCAAGGAGGCCCTGGGGGACAGGCTGAGCCTGACCACCCCCCGGCCACACCCTGGACCCCACAACCACAGACGCAGTACCTGGTGCCGCGCTGGCTGAGCGGCCGGAAGCAATTACCCCGTCCAGCATTAGATCTAAAAGAACGAAACACGACATGGGTCACCGGCCGGACAGGTGGGCTGGGCAGGGCGCGCTCAGCAGCTCCCGTCCCCTCAGTGTCAGCCCTCTCTCAGCCCAGGATCCAGGTGGACTACGCACAGATGGCTGGCTCTGAGCCTCGAGGCCCAAACTTGGGGGACAGGCCACTGGAAGGAGGCAAGCTGATCCACCAACCGGGCAAGGTCACCGTGGGGGCAGGGGAGAGGGGGGCTTTGGTCCCTGTCTTGGGCTCAGCAGCCCCTGGCCGGGCGGTCCACCTCAGCCACACACAGCACCCTGGCCAGGCAGGGTCCCAGGGTCTCCCAACAAGAGTCCCATCTGGAGATGCCCTGCAAGGATGGGTGAGGGGAAGGAGCAGGGTCAGAATGAGGTTGTGGGGGGCAGTGCTCACTAAGCTTCCCACAGCCACAGCAAGAGTGAGAGAGACCCCCTCCTGCACAACTGAACACCCCTTGGGGACAGGGTGCTGCGGCTGATGTACAAAGACAGCATGTCCACCCTGCCCGGCGATGCTGTCTCATCTCCCTCCTCCAGCAGCCTCACTGCACAGAGGGACACCTGCCTGGCACTGCGCACCCCCAGCACTGTCTCCCCATCCTCCAGGTACCTCTCACACGGCAGCAGGGAGGAGGAAGTGTGCCACGTTCCCTAGATCATGAGGGATCTTCACACGCCACCAAGCCAAGGGGAGCACCTCACACACCTCAATCCACGCACACCACCACCACCCCTTCCTCCTCTACACCTAACCACACCCCATCCGACTCATCTTGCACGGGAGAGTCAGTGAGAAGGGGAACGAGGAGGGAACCTTCAGATGCAGCCACAGACCCACAGAAACACACACGCAGACATGCACAAAGGCCTCAGGGGCCCTCATCAAGACCCGCAGGGACGGGGCAGCGGCCGACTGAGTGCCAGGCAGCCAGGAGGGAACGGCGTCCCAAGGCAGCAGGCAGGAGCAGAGCCCCGCTGCAGACACACCTGAACACAAAGTCCTTCCTGGACTTCTGGTCTCTCCCCTTAGTGCCAGCCCACCCTTGGCCGGAAACCTGAGGGGCCTCGCCTCCTCTCGCCCCTCCCGTGACAAAAGGCGTTGGCGCGCACAGCCAACGGGGCTGAAGGGCAAAGGCCAGCAGGGATCGTCACGAGCTGCGTCCAGTCCCTGCAACCTCAGACCTTCACTGAACCGGAAGGGAAAATGTTTTACAGCTTGGCCAAAAATAATAATAATAATGCCCAGAAGCCCATTTGGAGAGAGGGAGGGAAGTGGGCCTGGGGTCATCTCTCACACTGCGTCCACCTGCAGGTTTGGACCAAGGTCGTCCTCAGCAGCTGCAGGCCCTGGACAGGCCCAGGGTCACCACCCTTGTAGCTGGGCCAATCCCTGGGGACTTGGATGGGGGCCTCGAGCAATGCCCCCATCAGACTCCCGTGGGAAGAGGAGGGGCTCCTCTGAGAGCAAGGCTGGAGGGGGCCACACATCAGCTCCTCACTGGGAAGCGTGATGCTGAGCCCCAGGGAGCCCCCAGGGTGGGGCGAGGGGCTCCCCTCCAGGGGCTGAGCTGATCTGCTTCATGCGGGCTCTTAAGGCAGACATGCTCGGGGGAGGGGGGCGGGGAGAGGTGGGAGCCCCTTCTCCCTGCCCCCAGCCCCCTGCAGTCACAGGCCAAGGTCAAGCACGACCCAGAGAGAGGTGGAAAGACTACCGACCAGCCATCTGCTTCTCCTTACTCCTTCTCCTCTTCTCCAGTCTCCGCAGCCGCTTCTCCTCCCGCCGCCGCGCCTCCTCCACCTCCTGGTGCTGCCGGCACTTGTGGAAGTTCTCCACCACCACACCCACGAACATGTTCAGCACAAAGAAGGCCACGATGAGCAGGAAGGAAATGAAGTAGAGCAGCATCCAGGGGTTGTGGTTCATGATGGGCTGGTGGGGAGCAGGGGGCACACGAGCGGCATCAGCCCAAGGGGGTCCCATTTTAAGTGCCGCCCCCGGCGCCTACCTGCCTTCAAACGAAGGCCTGCACACATAACCGCTGCAGGAAGCCAGCAGGTGAGGTGGACGAATGGTGCGGGTTCGGCGGGGGTCGGGGGGCTGGGGACTCGGGGAAAGTGAAATCGTGTGCTCTGACGCACAGAGGGGCCGCTGCTTCTCTGTCCCCGCTGACATCTGACCCAAGGGGACGCACACCCAGAAGCCCCCGGATCTTCCGGCTTCTCCAGATTCCAGGTCTGATGTGACATTCACTGACGCCACTTAGCACCCATTCAGAAACTAATCAAGGGCACTGCGGGTCAGTAAAGCACACAGGGGTCCAGCCCACAGGCTGCCACTCTCTTCTTCTGCTAAAGACCTGAAGCTCGCGGGCCAGCCTGCTTGTTCTCTCTGGCCGGGGCCTGAGCCCACAAGTCTGCACTGAGCCCCTGCCCACCTCAGGCCTGTACCTGCTGGTCCACGCCCACAGCATCCAGCCCATCATACATGATGTCCACCCAGCCGTCCTTGGAAGCCAGCACGAACAGCGACATCAGGGCCTGAGGAGGAGGAGAAGACCAGGAGAAACCTAGGATGTGTGGCCGAACCGTATACCACCACTGACAGCAGGTGTGTGTGTGTGTGTGTGTGTGTAGGAGTGTGGGCCTTTAGAGTCACCTTCCAGGTGGCTGGAGCACTCTCTGCCCCCAAGTCCCATGGCTGGGACGCAGTCAGAAGGACAGAGGCAGGGCAGGGGACCCAAGCCTGGGGAGCCCAGAAACAGGGCTGGGGGACCAACAGCAAAGCAAAACGAGCCACTCCATTTCCCACAGTTCTCTGCTTCTGGACACACGGCGTGAGGGCAGGGGTCCTCACCCTACAGCAGGCTCAGCAAATCTAGACATCGTCTCATCTGTCCTGACTACCACCAGAGGAGCCCTGGTGGTACCCTGGTGGTGTAGTGAACCGCCAGGTCAGCAGTTCAAAACCACTAGCTGCTCCTCGGGAGAAAGATGAGGCTTTCTACTCCTGTAAAGAGTGACAGTCTCAGGAACCCGCCGGGGCAGCTCTGCCTGTCCTGCAGGGCGCTGTGAGTTGGCATCACCTCAAAGGCCATGAGTTTGGAGTTTGACATTTGGGAAGCAGACCACCGGCTGGGTGTGAACTGCTGACTTCTCAGCTAAGGGTCCTTGGTGCCTCCCAGGGAATGCTGTACCTCTGAGTGGGGCTAATGGGTCCTGGGCTCACGGCGCTGTGGGTGTGGTGGAGGGGGGCGGTGTGCTGAGGGCTGCCCGCCCTCCCCTGGGGCTCACCTGGCCGAGGTTGTCGAAGTTGTACTTGTGCCGGACCCACCGGTAACTGGCCTCGGCACAGTCGGACTTGTTGGTGATGTTCCTGGTGTCCTCGCCCTGGCACACGAAGAACTTCCCTTTGAAGAGCTGGGAGCAGAGGAGACACACACAGCAGACGGCGGGACTTGGGCTGTGACTACAGGACATCAGGATGCCCAGAGCTCCACGCCCCCCCACCCACCCACCCCCATGCTGGGTCCAACAAGCTCTGGGAACACCTTGGGTGAAGGTGGGCCACGGAGTCTGGACTCAGTCATGTCAGGGGACCACCACTGGGACCCTTCCTCTGGGTTCCTGGGAGGGCAGGTCAGGGGACAGGGAAGCAGCTAGGGCACTAAGAGTCACCGGGGGTGAGGGCAGTGCGCTCCAAGTTTGCCCTGGACCAGCAGGCTCAGCATCCTCTGGGAGCCTGTTGGAAATGGCCTCCCACCCCCACCCCCACCCCCTGCCCTGCTGTAGACCTGCTAAACTGGAAACTGAGGAACTGTCCTCATTTTACTCAGACGAACTCACTGTAACTCACTGCCATCGAGTTGATTGTAACTCATAGCAACCCCATAGGGCAGGGCAGAACTGTCCCTGTGGGGTTCCAAGCCTGCGGCAAACTCTTCACGTAGTAGAAAGCCTTGTTCTCCCATGGAGCGGCTGGCGGTTTCAAACCGCTGACCCTGCAGTTAGCAGCCAATGCGTAACCACTACGCCGCCAAGGCTTCTGTGTGAGCAACCAGGCTCCCAGGTCATTTGGCTGAAAAGAGCACTTGACCAGTAGGCGGCAGAGGTGGGCTTGAACCTGGGTCTGTCCTGGGAGCGCTCCAACTCCTCCCATTCCAGTTCAGACTTCCCACGGGGCCCTGGCTCTGAGTGGAAAAGGGATTGGGGTGGGGGGTGGGGGTGGGAGGAGAAGGTCAGGGGCTTTGAGCAAGCAGGCATCTTCCACTCCCTGAGACTAAAATCGCAGTCCTTCAATCCTGGGCCAGGGAGGCGGCTGAAGGAGGGGAGGGGAGGAGAGGCATGCGGGCAGGAAGGGGTGCTGGGTGGGTGGGTGGGGTGCACAGAGGTACCCCAGCCTGCCTCCGGGGCTAGAGAATCTCTAGGAAACTGGGCATCAGCCTCCTTCCCAAGGAGGAATGGCCATCCCAGGAAGGGAGCAAGGAGATGGGAACCAGCCACCCAGCGGCTCCCACGCTGCCCAACAGCCAGCTGTTTACCCTGCAGCTGAGACATCTGGAGCTAGGGGCACTGGAGGGCGGGTGTCGGGGCTCCCGGGCCCCCAGAGGCACCCACTGAGTTCTGCAGGCAGGTCCCACTCCAAGCTCCCTCCCTGGGCTCCAGGCCAAGTCCCCCGGCAGCCTCACTTCCTGCCTCATCCAGGGTCTGCACACCCTCCTGCCTGCCAGCACACTGCTAACCTGGCCCAGCTGTCTGGGCCCTGGATCCAAGGCCTGGCCTCCAGCCTGCCAGACTCAAGCAGGGGTGGGAGGGGAGGGGAGATGGGGATTCAAGGGGAGCTCCCGGAGCAGGGCGAGGGGCGGGAACAGCAGCCTGCAGCAGCTACCGCAGATGGGCCTCCCCGCCAAGGCCCTGGTCCACTTGGGGCCCTGCTCTAGGCCCCCAGTGTTTTACAAACTGTTTTACAGACTGTGGAACGTGGCCCTGTCTACTCTCTAGAAGGAGGGCAGAGGCAAGGCCTTGAGCCTTAGGACCCAAGGGTCAAGAGAGGGCACTCCTCAGGTCTCTCAGATCGCTGGGCCCCCATCCTGTTGGGCCCCCACAAACCTGCACCCCTAGGATGCCAAAAATGATGAAGAAGGCACAGCAGATGACCACGATGTTGCCGATGGGCTTCAGGGAGGACATCAGCGTCTCCACCACCAGTTTCAGCCCCTGCGCCCGGCTGATAACCCTGGGGGCGGGGAGAGAGGGGGGTGAGAGCAGCCCCCCCAACTCTGACATTGCCTCAGACACTGCCCTCAGCACCACCCTACCTCAGTGTCCCCCTTCACCCCCCAGGGTACAGTCGCAGGACACCCCCACTCCCATCAGGACCGCATCCACACTCTCTCCCAGCAGGCTACAACATGCTGACACACATGGCTCCTCCAAACTAGTCTCTGGCAGCCAGGGGCCCAGGGTGACGACCAGCCCGACATATGGTGCCCAAGGGGTGAGTGTCCCAGGAGACAGCAGGAGGCGAGGGGACACAGGGCGCGTGGGCTGCCACCGAGGGGCAAGTGTTTGTCCTGAGTCCGTGGGGCCATCATCCAAGACGCTTGGACGGAACGCATTGCTGAGGGTATTCTGAGAGGTCAGGCGTCCTGCTGGGGGTGGTCCTCAAGGGGGACCTTAAGTGGGGAACGCCAGCAGCAGGAGTCTGCTACCTCACAAGGAGCAGCACATCCCCACCAAAGGCTTGAAGGGTGCTGGGGTCCCACGCGGGCCCCACACCAGCAGCAAGGGACCCTCAAGAGTGTGCTGTCTTGGAGAGGAGGCCAGCGGAGGGAAACCTGTTGTTGGTGTGTGACTCCATATGTCCCCCGAATGACAGAGGGGGCCAGGACAGCCCGAGGGGGCAGGGAGGACGGCCTGGGGAGAGGCGCACAGGCTCGTGCCATGCAGGCGGGTGGGCACCTGAGTGGGCGCAGGGTGCGCAGCAGACGCAGCACCCGCAGCATGCCCAGGATCTTGGTGCCACTGTTGGAGACCATGGACACCAGGATGTCGATGACGGAGATGAGCACCAGCAGCCCGTCCAGCACGTTCCAGCTGCTGCGCAGGTACGCCTGCTCCCCGAAGCACCAGCCCAGCGCCACCACCTGGGACCACAGTCCGCCGAGTCAGCCTCCGGCCCCACCGCCGCTGGGAACGCTAGTCCCGCATCCCAGACACTGCTCACCTTCACTGTCATCTCGGCCAGGAAGACGGCGGTGAAGATGTAATTAGAGAGAGTCAGGAAGATGCGTTCCTGAGGGGTGACGGCAGCAGGTGGGCCCTGGGGCAGCACGCGGCCCTGGGCCCCAGTGGTTATGCTCACAGGGGAGGACTTGGGGACCGGCATGCCCTCAAGGGCCCCAGGGGGGTGGGAGGGGTGGCTTGCACCTCCACAGAGTCTCACCCTTGCCCCTGAGCAAACCCATCCCTGGGGTGTGGCCGAGGGAGGAAGTTACCCCCCTCAGTACGGCTGTCACGTGAGCGCCACATCTCAGGCTTTATCCCTTGACTCCTTCCTGAACACTGGACAAGCCTTATCCTGGTTTCTGACACCCCCACCCACCCCCCAGCACCGTGCCCCTCTCCTCCCTGCTCCCGGGCCACGAATTCTGAGGGGCACTCTAGAAATGGACCCTTGGAGCAAGCAAGCAGGGGGCCGGTGCACATGTATGCCCGGGCAGGGTGGGATGAACACAGCCCAGTCCCCTGAGGACTGAGTCGACTGGGTGGACTCCACTGGGTGACCACGGCGGAGGTACAGAGAGAGAGGCCACAGGCAGAGCTGGGTGTCCGAGAGACAGGCGCATAGAGGGCAGAGCCAGAAGACACCGCACTGTGCCGGGCCAGCAGCTGCGGCGGGGAGTGGAGGCTGTGGTGACAGAGAGGAGGGCTTTGCTGGGCGGCAGGCAGGACCTCAGGGTGTGAGTGTGACCAGCCAGGGCCCCAGCCCAGCAGCCCTGAACAGCCTGGGCGTGAGGCGGGGTGAGATGGGAGGGTGTTTGCTCAGCCACCTACTCCTGGGCTGCCCCCTCCATCCCCACCCAGCTCGCCCTGATGGAAAACAGATGCTGCGGCAGCCAGGCGTCCTAAACAATGGTGTGGGCAGCAGCAAGGAAGGGTGGGGGGCGGCCCCTCTGGCAACCCCCAAGCAAGTGGTGCACAAGCCATGAGGGGAAACAGAGGCACCCCACTCACCCACCCTGCTAGGACCTGACTCATGCAGCAGGGAGGCTGCTTGTGCCACCATGCTGGGGAGACACAGCCCGGAGAACCCCCAGGGCCATCCCAGCGAGGCTCGGGACCACTGACTCCCCGAGACCTGGCAGCGTCAACGTACCCACCGAGGGCGTAGAGCAGCTTCCCTTCCTGCTGGGTCTGTACTACCCACACGGGGTGAGACCTCCCCCATATCCGTGCACAGTCCTGGGGGGCCCCCAGGGCACTCAGCCTGTGCAGGGACAAACCGCTGGCTCTGTGCGCTCCATCTCATGGCTCCTGCCATCCCAGCATGGCTGTGGGCCTCCTACGGGCGCCTCTGAGCCTCTCGCTCACAAGAACACACCGGCGGTGAACCACCTGGGACACCTGCTGTAGCACTCTCTCCTTGGGAAGGGCCCGCTCCCCACTCGGGCCGGTGTGTGACAGAAGGGAAACTGAGGCGGGAGGCACGCAGGAGGCACTTCGGGGAGTCGGGGAGCCCTAGGCTGGGACCCTGGCTCCCGCTTCCCTGACTCTGGGTCCTTCGCCTGCCTCCCTTGCTGGAGGGGCCTGCCAAGTCAGGGAGGGGCCTGGCACACCCCCAGCCCTGGTGCAGCCTGTCCCGGTGACTCACGGCACTGTGGGGGTCGATTTTGGGGCGCTCCATGGCGATGGTGATGCAGTTGAGGAAGATGATGACGAGGACGACATGGTCAAACATCTTGTGGGTGATGATCCGGTGGCACAGGAGACGGAATCTGCCCCGGAACAGAGGCCAAGGCTGGGCGGGAGACAGGACGGGGCAGCAGGGGCGGGGGGCCCGCCCCCAGCCCACGACCTTCCCCGGGCCCCCACGGAACACCCCTGCTCAGGCCCCGGCAGGGCTGGGCCAGGTCGGTGCCTCCTCACTCACTTTGACTGTGGAGGGAAGATGTAGGCTGACCAGGCGTCCCGCTCACGGCAGCAGGAAGGGAGCCGGGCTCGGATCCACGCCCGCATCCGTTCCCCTTTGCTCTGTGGAAGGGACTCGGGCCGTGAAAGGGTCCAGGCCCCGTCACAGCCATCTCAGCAACCCCTACGTCAGCCCTTTGTCTTCCTTCTTGTTTGTGATCCTGAAACCATCTCCCCACCTCCCCTAGAGCCTCACCACCCCTCACCTCTCCCTACTTCCTTATCTCCTCCTCTCTCTTCTCCCCTACACACCCCAGCCCACCCCAGCCCGGCCCCATGGCTCTCCAGCTTCCTCATCCCTGCCCCTAGCACAGCCCCTGCCTGTCCTCCCTCGGTGCCCCCCTGCTGGGGCTAGAAGCCACCTTAAGGATCAAACGCTGTTCCCACCACACTGTCCACCCAAAGAGGACAAAGGCCCCTCTTCTCACTTGCTAAGCTGGGCCCGCAGTCCCAGGGCCCCTGCACCCTACCCCAGGCCCAGGCGGGTAACAAGTGTGAGTGAGTGGGTGAAAACAGGGTGTGAAACGGTCGAGAGAGGGGACAGGGAGGGGACATTCCCTCGGAGAGGTGAGTGATGGGTCTCTCTGAGTCACAGGAGAGGGCCATGAAAGATTCATCCGAATCTGCCCGCACTGTGCAAAGCCACCCGAGGAGCGGAGGGAGCAGGGCTGTGGAGCTCGGTTCCCAGACAGACCTGGCCCCTGCACTGAGGCCCCATGGGCTTTGCACCCTGAATAGCACAGAGAGCTGGGGGTGGGGCCAGCTCTGGGCTCTCTCCAACTCGGGATGAGGACCCACTGCGCCCTCAGGTGCCTCACCAGGTTGCCCTCGTCATCAGCGTCATCCCCATCTAGTGGAGGCTCGTCTGGGTGTGAGGCCCGGGCCAGGCGCCCTGGGGTCGACCTGCCATTGCAGTCCTGGTGCTCCGAGGCCGAGCTGCGGCCGCTGGCCGTGCGGTGCAGCCCGGGCACCTGCAGGGTATCCGGCAGGTCGAAAGATCCCTTGGCTTCCTGCTCCAGGGAGCCCCCAGGGTGCCGGGCACTGCCCACCCGGCTGGCCCGCTCCTCTTCCGAGCTGTCCTCATCCTGGCTCTCCCGGCCCTTGCCAGACAACAGGGACCGCCGCTCCCCACTAGGGCTCCTGCGTTTCAGGCTGGGGGCACGGCCCAGGCTGTTTCGACTGGAACGCCTGCTGGCCCAGCTGCTGGCGGCACTCCAGGGGCTGTGTGGGGAGCTGCGGGCGCTCGGCTGGGGGGCAGGCAAAGCAGAGAGGGTCTCAGCCATGGTTGGGACACACACACACACACACACACACACACACACACACACACTGTACATCCCCGTCTCCCATGAGTCTCCCTGCCACCACATCAGGCTTGAGCAGGAGCCCTGGACTCTGAGGCCTGAGTTCAGATCCTGGCTTACCCTAACCCTCTCATTTATTGGGAAAGAGGCTGTGTTGCCCCTGGCCATATAAAACCATGGCGAAAGACCTGGGCTCCGGCACTGGCCTCCTGGGTGAAAGTACAGGCTCTGCCACCTACTAGCTGCAGAGTTTTCAACAAGCCACCTGGCTCTGAGAGGACGGGGTGGGGACGTCATGGGAATGCAGCTCACGGGCCTGCCGAGCAGGACCTTCTCGTGAGCACTAACGGGCAGTGCTCCGAGTGTGCGGTCCAGAGGCGATAAACAGATGAAGGATTGCTATGATCAAGATCAGGGATGGTGGGAACTGAAAGGCTGCAGGTTCGAGTCCATCCAGAGGCAACTCAAAAGACAGACCGGGGTGATCTACTGCCAAAAAACCAGCCAGTAGAAATGCATGGAGCTGAGTGCTCCTTTGACACACACGACCATCTGGATGGCAAGTAATCCGACTGTGGTTAAGGAGGCAGGGACCCCCGACCCGCCTTCTGCAGGTGAGGCTCAGCGTGTGTGCTTCAGTCTCACCCATGGTGCCTCAACTGGGAATCACAAGAGGCAGGACTTGAACCCTGATCTTTGGCCGACTGACAAGTGTCAGCCTCACTGGCTCCCCTGAGGCTTGTCAAGGCACACACAGGCCCCTTCCAGCCCCTGGCCCAGCCCTTGGACCTGCCCCACCTCCACCATCTCTTTCTACAGCCTTTTGTCCAGCTCCTCCCACCTGGCACCCAGGTGCACCCCTTACCGGTGACTTCATCTCATGGGCTGCCCCAGGCTCTGCAGACCAGCAGCTGCTGGTGCGGCGGGAGGCGGGGCCCAGTTGCTCCCCCAGGCCCGTGCTGGAGCTCTTGGGCAGTGACATGGGGGTGGCGGCCGTGTGGATGATCAGAGGAGGGAGTAGGCTCCTCTGCAGCTCCGGGTGCTCTCCTAGGGACACCACTACAGGGGAGAGAGGGGGCACCCTCTAGTCCACATGGGCTGGCCCAGGCCCAGGGCCCACACACCCAGAGAGGTACTCACAGGCCCAGCGTTTCTTCCTGTCCCCATCGCCGTCCAGGCTGGGCGAGAAGAAATCAGGCTCGGACTCGGACTTGGTGGCATCTCCCTAGGACCAAGGAGCAGCAGGGGGGCTGTTAGGGACCTGGGTGGGGCAGGGGGAGGCGGGACAGCTGAAGTCTCCATCTTCACACGAACACACCACAAGGAGGCCACGGAACCAGAACCACGGCACAAAGCATGCACCGGTGAACAGCCTCCCCAGATACCCACACCCCAGGCCCTCACGTCTCGGCCTGACACCAGCTACGCCTCAGAGGTGGCCACACTAACCCCACAGCCAACAGCTGCACCAGCCTGGCCGGGCCTGACGCCAAACCTGGCTGCGGTGGAAGAATTGCCCGGAGGCCTAACAGGCCCAGGGAACTTGGGGCCTGAGTGAGTTCTAAATGGCCACGGAGAGCCTCAGGCCGTCCCTCCGTGGCCCGCTGCTTCTCTAGCCTCAGACCTAGCGATCCCATAAGGAACTGGGAAGGTCGGTCCAAGAATTCCTTTGCTCTTCCAACTGCCCCAAGCCGGGCCGCTCCCCTGGCCCCATTTTTGCCTCTGCCCCTGTCTATGGGACAGAGGTTTCTTCCTGTTTAGCAGGTCAGTAGGTTCCCCAGTAATTACACGCTTTTTCTTAAGAAGTTATTAAAAACGACTTGATTGCTACTTTTGATAAGGGCATAAATATTGCATAATTGGCATCTCAGGGGGTCCTTTTCATTAACTCAGTTTACATCCCTAATGAGGCCTTTAATTATCAAGTGGGATCTCCAGGGGGCTGTTCGGGATGTGTAGCACCGTGGGGTCCCACAGGAATCCTGGGTTCACCCGAATCTGGAGCCAGTGCCGGAAGCAGCAGGGCACAGGCTCAGAGCAAGGCTGGAGGAGGGGCGTGTCCTCAGGTCCCAGTGGATTCCAGGACAGCTCACAGACCAGACTCAGGAGTGAGTTCGATGTTGGTGCTTTCTGGCCAGAGGACAATCTCCAAAGAGCCACGCTGGGCCAGGGCAGCCGGTGGAGTCTCCAGCAGGGGCTCAGGGCAGAGAGATGGTGGGCAGGCATGCAGCCACCAGTCTTCCTTTCACCGAGGCCCAGTGTCCCAGACTCCTCAGGACCCAGGGTGGACACCACACACAGACACACACAGGGTTCTAAGTCCCTTCTTTCTCTGGCCAACCCACTGGCAGAACAAGGAGCCCCCCTTGTAGATCCTCAAGGGAGAAGGGACTTAAAATCGAAGCAAACCTCGCAACACCAAGGACCACCACAGGCTGCACAGTAGCTGAGCGTCAACGACGAGCACAGAAACACAGGGCGGCAGGGGTGGGGTGGGGACACGGGCACAGGGGCATGCCGACTCGGGTTGCGTACCTACCCCCTGGGAGTCGACAGGCAGCTGAATACAGCTCAACTGTCCACTCGCATCTTCCCGTTTGCTGATTTCCTACGGGGAAAGGGGAGGCGGGGAGGGGCGCTGTCACCCCCGGGGCCCGGACTTTCAAAGGTGGGCATCGAAGGAAGATGGAGATGGGGAGTGAGGGCAGGCCCAACAGCAGGGGAAGGGGGGATTAAGAGGAGCCAGAAGACCTTCCAGAATTCAACCTCAGGCCCTTGGGCCAGAATGATTCTGGAAGGCGAGGGCAGAGGCCACGCAGATAGATGGGGACAGGGCAGGAGAGGCGAGGACGTGCTGGGTGGCACCGGTAGCTTCGCTAATGCTAGCTTGCGTCCCCACAACATGAGAAGCAGGGACCACCACTGCTCGATGCCCTACAGGCAAGGGCCTGAGGCTCAGAGGAGTTCACCCAGAGAGCAAGAGGTGGCCCTGGGCCTAGACCCTGAGTCTGCAGCCCTGCAGACAGCTCACGTCTCCAAGGCTCGGAGGCCGGGCACTCGGCAGTGGAGGGGGAAGGAGGAGAGGAGCGGGGGCAAGTAGGAGGGGTGGCAGGAAGCGAAAGCAGGCCTCTCTGCTCTCAGGCTCGGCCATGTCCCTTCCAATCACCACCGACCCAGCAGATCTGTTTGGGATGGGATGTGACAGGTCGCAGTGGGACAAGGCGATGATGTTGTTTAATATCAATTAATGGCCTCACGCGGGGCCTGCTGCCTGTTCATTTAATTAAGTGTGTGCATGACAAATACCCGGGGATTCAAGGCACTGCCCCCTGCCATCAGAAAACCCACAGCCCGCCCCTGCACCACCCCTTCCACCTCTTGGCAGGATGGCTGGGCCAGCAGGGGGTGGCCCTGAAGCCCCCCTGCTGGTGGAGGCCCACAAAACTGGGGCAGCCACTTCCTCCACTGAAGTGGGGTGGCTCACTGGTGGGGGAGAAACACAGCGGCAAAACCAGTCTCCCTTTTCAGACAACGGGCCCTGGAAAATCCACACAGGAAGGAGCAGGTACCACGGGCAATGACCCCATCCCCCCCTCCACCCCGCAGCATGGTGGGAGAGCACACCTCTCACACGGACAATCAGCCCCGGAGAGGGGGTTGATAATGCACTGGAAGCAGCCCCAGTCCCAGGCCTCCCCCCACCCCCCTGCCCCACAACCACTTCTCTTCTGAAGGCTGAAGAGGCTGCAGCCACCCCCCCACCCCCCACCCCCTGTCTTGCAGAGCCAGAATGACCAGGCCAGGCCAGCCGCTCTCCATTCACACGCAGACTGGGCTGCTGCCTAGCAACCTGGACCAGCTCAGCTGCACTCAATTTAACAAGGTGTTGTCTGGAAGCGCTGGGAGGGGGCTGTCAGGCTGGGCTCTCCAGGACAACTGAGGACCACATTGCCTTGGCAGAACAGCCGGTGAGGGGAGGGCACAGAAACGGGGAGAGTTCTGTGTCCCTTAAGGGCTCCACGGGAGTCATCCTGGGGAAGCCTGCGCCAGAGGAGCTGAAGGCTCTCACCTCGGAGTGCCCCCTCCCAATGGTGAAGGGTGGCAGCTGAGTGGGGGCTTCCAGAGAGACCCTGCCTCTGATAGGAACAGCATGGCACCCTTTAACCAACAGGGCCAGGAAACCCCAATGACTGTCCCATCCCCAAGAGGGGGCTGCCACCCTGGCATCGCCAAGGGCCCCCAGGAGGAGGAGACGGGACGGTGAAGCGCTATCAAGTTAAAACGGAGGCGGCACCTCAACAGCCGGGCTGGGCCTGCGGGGAACAGCCCTCCCTGGCAGGGCTGGGAAAGGAGTCGGAAAATAGATTTTTGTTTTTCCACCGTGTGCGGGTATTTATAGACAAGGCCCCAGCGGGAGTTTCCATCCGGGTCACCCAGCGAGAACTGGACCAAGCACCGCTCCCACCCCACCTGGAGCGTTTCTAGGTTGGGTCAACCTGCTCTGCACAAGGCGCTGGGAGGCAGGGCGGGCGGGGGGCTCAGGGGAATGGGGGTGGGGAGTAGAGGCTGAGCAGCCTGTCCAGCAGATGCCCTGCCCAGACAGGCCAAGGGCAGGCTAGATGTAAATCCATATTAATCGATGACGCTGCCCGTGACGACGGTGACGGTGACGGGGCCTGGGCTGGAAATAGGATGCTGGTCTCTGCCGTGCCTGCAGCTAATTGGGCTCATTTCTCACCCCGGCAGCTCAGCCCTGCCCGGGCCCGTGGCATCTTCATCAGGCTCAGCCAAGCACATACGACTGACCTGCACACAAGCCACTCCCACCCCTTGGCCCAGCCGGTCAACGGTCCCCTCCATTGTCCCAGCGAGCGGTCTCTCGGGGAGCCAGCTGCTGTTGGGCACTGCACACACTGATCTGGCCTGACTTTCTGGCCGACCTAACAGGGGAGGCCCACCTGACAGGAACCCCTCGACCCAGGGCCCCATACAACCCCTTGTCTCCCAAGTGATGAGGGCCTGGGTGAGACCTGGAGCCTCCCGCTGCTGGTCTGCCCTGGCTCGTCTGAACACGGCTCCCTGTGGGACCTCCCAGGCCTCCACGACTTGGTAGCAGAGGGAACTGAAGCCCTCCTGGAAGCAGGACTGTTGGGGGCAGGGTGCAGGTGGGTGTTGTGGGCAGGGTGCAGGGGGTTACCTCCGCCTGGAAGCCCTCCACCAGGATGGCCACCAGCAGGTTGAAGAGCACGTAGTTGCCAAAGGTCATGAGGGCGATGAAGTAAAGGGCGGCCCAGGAGGATGTGGAGGCCATCCCATTGTAGAGGACCTTGTTCCAGTCCTCCTGGGTCAGGATCTGCAGGCGGGGAGTGAGGGCGGGGTGGAAATCAGGACCTTGACCAGGGCACTCTCCCCAGTCTCCAGAGGGCCACCCCTCCTTGGTCACAGATTGTACCTGGAAGACTGTGACGATGGCCCAGAGCAGGGAGTCAAAATTCTTCCGGTCTGGCAGCGTGTCCCCGTCCCGCTCAGAAGCAAATTTGCAGCCGAACAGGTGCATGCCCAGGATGCTGAAGACACATGGGGGGTGGGGGTGGGGGGTGTCAGGCCGGCACTGGGCCTGTTGGCTCCGAGGCCCCACAGCCCTGCGCTGGGCCCCGCCCTCACCTGAAGATGAAGATGAAGAGCATGAGCAGCATGCAGAAGGTGGCCACGTTGTCCATGGTCTTCATGAGCACCACGAGCTGCCGCTGCAGCGCCGGCAGGAAGCGCACCAGCTTCAGCACCCGCATAAGGCGGAAGGTCCGCAGCACCGACAGGCCACCCCCCTGCTGGCCCACGATCTCCCACACGCTGCAAGGGGGGCGAGGAGCATAAGCAAGCTGCCTCCAGCGCCTCCCCTGTGGGGGGACCCAGCCGCACCTGAGGGCTCGGGCTGGCCCTCTCGGGGTGAGAGGGTGGGGCCTCCTGGCTGGACAGTGCAGGAGGAGGGATCTGAGGGCCAGCCCTGCCCCCACTTCCCGCCAGAGGTCATGTCCCAGCAGCTGACGCCCTCTCCCTAAACCATGCCAGCGCATGGGCATCAAGCTCTAGAATGTTTGCTTTGTTCTCTTTTAATGAAATCTAAAGCCCATTCCAGAAAGCAATAAAGCACTGCTCTTGGCTCCAGGTCTGGGGGGGGGCGGGGGCGGCAGACAGGACAGAGCAGCGTCCCAAGGTCCTAGAAACCCTAAAGCAATCTGCCGGCACCAGAGACCCAAGCTCTGTGCAAGCAGGGACAGCAGACAGCGCCACATCCTGCCCTCTGGTTGCTCTTCCAGGCCACCTTTCCCCAGTCCTGACCTACCCGAGGCCAGGGCAGGGCCGAAGGGGCCAGTGCTAGGTGAGTAAGGCCAGGCTGACGAGAGAATGGAGTCCAGCTTGGCGCAGAGAGGGTCTCCCTTCCTCCCGGGGTGGGGCAGGCTCCAGATCCCTCCCCCAGAGATGGGGGTTGTGGGTCTCCAAGCCTTTTGGCTGTCCTGGGCCCCGTTTGAGAAGCTGGGAGGGCTGAATGGCAAATCTAGAGGGTGACGGGCAGGGACAAGGCTGGCTCCACTAGCTTTGTAGGAAAGCCCCCATTCTCTTGTCATTCCATTACATCACAAACTTTCCGAAGGCCCTCGTCTGGCAGGTGTCCTGGGTGCCACTTGTGTGTGTGTGTGTGGGGGGGGGGGGAGCAGGCGGGTGGGGGAGGCGGCGGCGGTGGCAGCAATGAGCAGTCCCTATCGGCCGAGGTAGTCACCAGCACCAGCCTTGCGAGATCACACAGCACGTGAAAGTCCTACCTGATGACAACAATGACCCCGTCAAAGATGTTGTAGGGATTCTTGATGTAGCCAAAGGGCCCGTACACCAGCAGCTTCAGCAGCATCTCCAGGGCAAAGAGGCTGGTAAAGACGATGTTGCTGATCTCCAGGGCATTGGTGAGCTCCTCAGGCTGGAGGGCAGGGGTGGGGGTGGGGTGGCATGAAGCAGCCCCCGCGGGGCCCGGAAACCCCCCACCCAACCCCCTGAAGCACGGGACTGCAGAGCAGGAGGCACAGAAATAGCAAGTTTGTGTATATGGGGCCGAGGGGTTGCTGATCCAGGCTGGCGATGCAGGTAGACGCCTGCCCCAGTGAACTCTGCAGAGCCCTTTCCTCCCCTCCCCCAAACCTGGGTCTCAGATTCTAGGGTTCTGTGTGGTGGCTTCCCCCCTACCTCCTGCTGGGGCTCAGTTTAGGAGCCCCAGCCAGCAGAATGGCGATCGCCAAAGCCTAATGCACACCCCCAACCCCAGCTACACAGCCTCCAGTGTTGTACAGTCACACAACTGTCAGCTCTGCTTACCTCCACACACACACACACACTCACAGGCACTGATGAGAGGGAGGGATAATCAAGGGAGGACTATCACAGGGGCTGAGGCAGCTAGAACCTCAGCCTGAGTCTGGGTGGGACACCTGGGTCAGTTCCCAGCCGATTCTACCAACGTTCTGTGTGACCTTCAGCAAGGTTCTCAACCTCTCCGGGATGAACGGAAAACACTGGCGGTAATGGCTTTCATGCCAGACCCCAGAGAGGCCAGAACGAACACCAGCCCTGTCGCATCTACAAGTGCAGCTCACTCATCACTAGACTCCCTCCCTCCTCCTTTCAATATTACAAACACAAAAACAAAAACCCCAAACACCAAACTTAGTGTTACCGAGTCATTTCTGACCCACAGTGACCCTCTAGAGCAACACAGAACTGCTCCAGGACTCTCGTTCTTTTCGGGAGTAAAAAGCCTCATCTTTCTCCCCCCAGAGCAGCTGGTGGTTTTGAACTGCTGACTTTGTGGTTAGCAGTCCAATGTGTAACCCACCAAGGCCCCTTTCCCAATATTAAGTGCCTCCTCTGTGCTGAAAGGAGCCCTGCAGGTGGCTGTGTGCTTTGCATTGGTGAGACAACCCGCAAGATTGGCAGTTCGAACCCTGCCGCCACTCCATGGGTGAGTGATGAGGTTGTCTGCTCCAGTCTTAGAGACCCTATACAGAACAGGTTCCCAAACTTACTGGGCCTATGCCCCTTTTCAGAATATAAAACTACTCGGCACCCCTCTGGGAATGAAAAATAGTTGTACGATGACCTGTACTCCAGGATAAAGTGTAGTCTCTGCTTGTGCAGGCCCCCGCCCCCCCATCGTGCCAGCACTCCCTCGTGAGTGGTACTGCCTGCTGTGGGAGACACCGCAACTCAGGTCACCAAGAGTGGAGACTGGCTGGACAGCAATGAATTGGCTTCTTGTTTGGCTACTAAACATGGTTGGTTTGAGTCCACCCAGGTGCCCTGGCAGAAAGCCCTGGCAGGCTAAGTCTGAAAATCAACCCTTGACCACCCCACGGAACACGTTCAGCTCTGACACAGGCCCTGGGGGGCCAGCTGTTTGCGTTTGTCTAACTGAACGTTAGGGAGCCACGGTGGCGTAGCTGGATTATGGGTTGGGCTTTGAACCACAAGGTCAGCAATTCAAAACCACCAGCTACTCTGTGAGAGGAAGACGAGGCTTTCTACTCTCCTGGAGACTGACGGTCTTGGAAACCTAGGGAGCAGTCTGACCCCCAGGGTCGCTGTGCGTCAGACGGGACTGGGGGTCAGGGAGTGCGATTTTCTCGTTCTCTGAGAGATGGAAAGGCTGGAGGCTCACGCCTGCTGTGGAAGAAGACTCACAATGTAAGAGAAAACCAGAGCTCTCGCTGCTGTAAGGTTGACTCAGACGCGCCACAAACCCTATGGCGCAGCTCCCCTCTGCCACGCACGGGGTTGTTGTGTGCTGGGATCCCCTGGACAACAACTGGTTACTGCACGCGAGCCGTGCACCAGATATTAAAGGAGCTACAAAAAAAAAAAAGAACAACCCAGCCAGGCGTGCCTGCGTGCTCCCTGCCTCCCGGGAACTCGGCATCTGGTCTAGCTAGAAACAAGTTGTACACACACAACGCTGAATAGCCACAAGAGGCCTTGGGCGCTCTGGCACCAAGATGCATGCTCCAGGCAGAAAGTCCAGGGGCTCGGGGAGAGCAGGTGCGGGTATGGGCCCTGGGAAAAGCCAGGTTGGGAGGCAGCACTTGCAATGGGCTCAGCAGGATGGGGAAGGGGTCTTGCCAGGCCGAGGGAAAGGAGGGTGGTGCCGGTGGAGGAGGCAGCCGGGGCAATGACTGATTTGGGAAGGAGGAAAGGATGCCGCTAGGCTGGAGACATGGGCACAGGGGAGGCATAGTTGGTTCAGTCAAGTCAATTCTGACTCATGCCCCCACCTGATGGACCCCAGGCCCACCAAAAGCCTAGGCCCCCAATAGGTGTTCCAGGAATCTGCATAAACAAATGACCCACTGAAACCCGGATTCCGTCCGACACCTCCCCCTGTGGTCCAGCTGCCTTATCTGGCCAGCTGCCTGGCAGGTTGTCCAAACATGGGGCCAGACCTTGGGCAGATCAGTGTGTCTTAATGGCCCACCTGTGGGATCAGCCCCGGTGTGGCTGGGGGAGCGGGAAGGAAGAGTCTCCAACTCACAAGCAGGTGGGGCTGTTTAGGAGCTCAGAACCAACAGCTACTCAGAAGACGATAAACTTCCCAAAGTCGGGGGGTGGGGTGGGGTTAGGGTGGAAGCAGAGCCACCAGCTAGCTGTCTAGTGGGTGAGTGGCTGTCATGGGGGGGACGGGGGTGCTCCAGCAGAGTCCTTTAGTCCATAGATTGGGCTTGGGGACTGCAAGGGACAGCGCCATCCGACCTGACCTCGGTACTGAGTTGCTCGCTACTGAGTTACCTAGTTACCTAGTTACTGAGAGCTGGAATCTTCAAGTCTCTCCAGCAGTGTGAGCCAGGTGCAGGTGGGGAGGAAGGGGCCATGGTCAGCATCAGAGTGGCCCACTGAGCAACTAGGCCTCAGATCCTCACCCCCCACCCATCCCTGAGAGAACCCCTTCCATCCAGCCTGCTCCCAAAGTGTCTCTAAGCCCAGTGAACCTGCCCCCTTGTCCTCACCCGCCTTGCACAGGGCCTTGTCCGTGCGCACAGTGTTCCACAGAAGAGGTCAGGAGACTGGTTCCAGGTCAAAGGGCAGCAGAGAGAGGAAATGGGACCCAGGCCCACATCACTCCCATTCTAACAATAACAGCCGATACTAATCCGGTGCACGGGGGACCCCATGTGTGTCAAAGTGGACGGTGCTTCGAAGGTGAGGGTCCCTATGAGCAAGACTCAACTCGATGGCAGTGAGGGAGACCTTTCCGAAGCAGGATGACAGAGGCTTCTTCTAAGGCACCCGTGGGTGGGCTTGAGCTAGGAACCTTTAGTTAGCAGTTCAGTGCTCCATCCTGCACTAAGAGTCAAGGAAGATTCAGGTCCAACCCGGGAGTGACCTTGAGAGGCTTCTGTCCACATGGGTGGGCTGTATTTTCTAGACACTCGAATCTAGAGCTGCAAGATAGTGAGTCAGATGAACGTTAGAGATGCTCATCCATCCGTCAAGTTCACTCTGACTTGGAATTGCCAAGATTTCTGAGACTTGACACCTGCTGGGAGCCTCATCTTCCTCCCGCAGAGCGGTTCCTGGATTAGAGTCACTGACCTCGTGGTTGGCAGCTCCATAGATAACCTATTGCTCCACTCCAAACCCACTGCCATCGAGTCAGTGCTGACTCATAGCAACCCTACAGGAAAGAATAGAACTGCCTGTATCAGAGTAGAAAGTCTCATCTTTTTCCCATGAGTGGCTGGTGGTTTTGAACTGCTGACCTTGTGGTTAGCAGCCCAAGGCAAAACCCACTCGGCCACCAGGGCTCCTTTTCACGTATTTATTTGTGAAGGCCCCATTACAATGATCATTGTACAATGATCCATTCAGGGTTCGTCGCACTCACTCACTGCCGCCGAGTCAATGCTGATTCACCGACCCAGGAGGGCTCATGAGGCTACAATTGTTACGAGAGTAGAAAGCCCAGTCATTCTCCCAAGCTGCTGCTGGTGGTTTTGAACTGCTGCAGCCCAACTATAACCATGTAGCCACTACTCCACCAGGGGTCCCTTGGGGTTCATTTACAATGGGCTAATGTGTATGGTATGTAAATTATGCCTCAAAAAACTGTTCATTAAAATTTTTTTTTAACTTAGGTAAGACTTAAAAAACAAACAAACTTATTTTCGGGACGCAAAGAGCACAGCAGCTCCCTCCGTGTGAGCCTTAAAAACACAACTAGTCAACACATGTGGTGGTTGTCATTTCCTGATGTTGCCAGGGCAGCTCTCAGCAGTGTGTACTCCATGCTGACGCGCACAGCGCAGGCACAGCCCCCCACCCTTGAAATTCCCTGGAGGGCTGGTGCCCTGCCCTCCGCAGCCCCAGCCCGCACCATCAGTCCGAGCCCAGGGAGGGAGGCAGAAGGCTGGAGTAGGATCAAGGGCCTGGGAACATCGAAGGCTTGCGTGTCTGACTCGGCCCTGCCCCCTCTCTCCTCTCACTCGCCCTGCACTGCTCTCTAGAGATTACACCCTAGGGAGCTTGGGGGTAGCTATGAGCTGAAAGGGGTTCCGTGCCCAATGCCATGAGGACAAGCCCCCCTTTCCAGGTATCCCCGTGGCCCACAGAAAGCAGCCCTCCTGCCCCAGACAGCTATGTCTGCCCGAGTTCCTAAACTGGGGGCTGGGAATGTTCTGCAAACTCAGGCTGAGGACACAGAGACACCCTCTTAGCAACACGGTTGCCCCAGGGACCAGAGCCGTGGTCACAGTCGCTGAAGCAGCAAGAGGGGAAAGGAGGGGACTGGCTGCTCGTGGGCCAAGTCTCTTGGCCGGCGTGTCCCTTCCTGGCACTCACCACCCAACCCAAGGGCCAGATGCAACTGCCTTAGCAGGCCGGGGATGGTGACTCCGAAGGCCTGGGTCTGCTGGTGCTCGCGGTCACTCCATGGGGAGC